CAACACACCGAGAAATCTCAAGGGAATTTTCGATTCGCGCCATGGAAACTCTGCTAGGAAGGGCTTCCAATACCTGGTCATAACGACAACGTTTCCAGTCGTATCGGCAATTTATCTTGTGAGCATAAAAGCCCAAAATGAGTGACGGTATTGCATGTAAAACAAACGTCAGTCCTCTTCGTTCTAGCTGCCATTGTATAAGTTGTTCCTCGAGTTGAAACTGCTTGCGTTTGATCCCTGGAAGTAGTAGCTGGCAATCCGATGAGCCGTGTAATTACTGGTGAAGCCAACGAGGCCATTTGTGAGCCGCTTTTCATAACTACATTTGCATCCGGCAACTCCGTGACGATTTTTCTGCATGTTTGTTCACGTTCGGATTTAGGCGCACTGGTCACAGCGACCTTCCTCGAAGCTGCTGACTAAAATTTTTTTGGATTTTTAGTTGAAACATTGTGCTTGAACTATCAGGAAGTCTGACTCAACAATTCAAACATGCACAAACACTGAAAGCTAATAAGAGTTAGCAATCCCGTCACATTCTAATCTACGGCAGAGGTGAATGACGTGTGCGATAAAACACTGCCAGTAACATATATATCCACTGATACAACTGTAATAAGAAGCACATTCTCTTCAAATTGTTTAGAAGCGAGCTGATAGCGATTTTGACTTACTGTCATGCACCGCAGGGAAACTGGTTCTCCCACTGGCGGAGTCAAACTGCTGGCATTAAATCTAGCAGCAACGTCATTTTCCCCTATGGCAAGTCTGTCAGTTGCGAATTTTGGCAAAGCAATGACTGCAACCGATTGTGGATAACGAAGTAAGATTTAAAAAAAAAAAGTTAAAATATATTGATGGCAGAATTCTTTAGACAAAAGCAAACAGACCATGCTAAAAAACTCCGCTGCAGGTACAACACGATACTTCTGCCCATCCGGACCTTGCGCCACAACAGTGCAACCTTGCTGAGCCCCTTGAAGCACTTTTGAAATTCTTGAAGGATCAGCAGACCTCGGTCGAACTGCGATTAGTCGGCCTGGTATGTTTCCTGCTGCAATGCAAAAGCAGTGTGAATAAGGCATTCGACATGCAGCAGATCGCACACACTCACAGCGATCATAAAAGTAAAAAAATAACCACGATCGGGTTTTTCGGCACATTTCCGCAGTTGCAACAAATAAGTTTCTGCCGTGGGCACGCCAGTCCAGAACACTTTCAAGTCACCCTCTTCGCTACGCTGGAAATCGATACTGCTTGGTGCATCCGGTTTATCAGTTTCCAAATACCACATGTCCTTGCAGCAAACCTAAAACACTCAATTCGACTGCGGTGAAATATTTGAAAAGGAGTGTGCAGACGGTGGTGGAAAAAATGGGCAATGTTAATTCGCCTATCAAAATCCGTTTAAACAGTTTCATAACAATAAAACGGAGAAACACACTGCTTAATAGCATGAGAATTTCGAGAAAGAAGCCGAATTTTCACTTCTAAAAATTCCCGCTATACTTGCTTTTTTTATAAAAAAA